AGGAGTTCTTCTCCGAGCTCCGGGAATGCGCCGCCGCCAAGGGCTTCGCCATGGACACTCGGTACTGTGTCCCGCCAGGCCGGGCCTCACCTGCTGACCCTGGGGGCAGAGGGCAGGATCACGGGGTCATAAGTCAGGGGCAGAAAGGTCAAAGGCCATGGGTGTCAGGTCAAAGTTCACAGGGAGTTTTAAGGTCAGGTAAAAGTTTAAAGGTCATGGGGTAAAAGGTAATAAGCCAAAAGCCAAGGCTCAGAGGTCAAAGGTCTTGGGTAGAAAAGGTCAAGGCTCAAAGGTTAGAGATAAAAGATCAAGTTTTCAGAGGTCACATGGCAAAAGGTCATTGGTTCCAAGGGTCAGTGGTTCACAGGGCAAAAGGACACGGCTGTCAGATGGCAAAGGTCATGGGGGAAGAGGTTAAAAGTCAAAGGTCAAAGTAAAAATGGGAGGGTCAAGGGTCAGAGGACGAATGTCACAGGTAGACAGTTTCAAGGGGCATAGGTCAACAGCTGAGAGGGCAAAGGCTACAAAGCTCAGGGGCTGAAGGGTCAGAGCTCACAGGGGTCATGGGTTGGATGCACTGTGGGGGGACCAGAGCACACTGGAGCTGTTACTAAACTGCGCTCAGAGTTCTGGTGCTGTTCTGCTCACCATGTTGTATCCATAACTACTATTGCCGCATGCTTTTGCGTGCTGCTGGAACCATGAGCTGCTGCTAACGATAAGCTGTTATGACCAGGGGTAGTGCCATTCCCTTCAGCATCAACACTTTTTTCCAGGTCTAACAAAGCACTGGCTGAGTCTCTGGACAAAGCAAATGACCCTCTGGATCCAATTGTGAACAAGCTGCTGCGCTCCATGGCCACTCACGCCATGTCCAACGCCTTGTACTTCTCCACTGGCTCTTGTCCCGAGGAGGAGTTCCATCATTATGGTACTGCTCATTCGTGTGCCATTCCCGTTGTTGCTGAACTCTCTGGGGGAAGGCAGGTGATTGCTTTGATTGCTCATCACTGCTGCCTTTTCCTGGCAGGCCTTGCCCTGGAGAGATACACTCACTTCACCTCTCCCATTCGGAGATACGCAGATATCATTGTCCACAGGCTCCTGATGGCAGCGACCGTGAAGGGAACTGCAGGGGATGTTCAGGATAATGTCATCAGCAACAAGGATCTCGAGGAGCTGTGCAGACACATTAACAACAGGAACAGGGTAAGGGTGGTTTTGTGAGTCTATGTGCTGCCCTATGGAATGGGATTCTGCTCCTGACAATGACACAGCATCACTTTGGGTTTATTTGTAATGCTTTAGGGGTTTTACTTAAATATCAGTTTTCTTCTGAGAATGGTAATGAAGGTGACTTCATCCTTCACCTGGGCTACATGGAGGATTTCATTTTAGATGTCATTTCTCTAGGGGATGGGTAAGGGAGTAAATACTGGGAAAAAGAAGTTGTAGAAATGAAGGCCAAACACATTTGTTGAAATATTACAACTTCTTCCTGAGAAGCAGCAGAGGAGCAGCACTGATCTCTGCTGTCTGTGACCAGTGACAGGACCTGAGAGCATGGCCTGAAGTTCTGTCAGGGGAGGGTTAGTTTAGATACTAGGAAAAGATTCTTCCCCCAGAGGTGTTTGGGCACTGGAACAGGTTTAGGTTGGACATTAGGACAAGGTTCTTCTCCCAGAGGTGTTTGGGCACTGAACAGCTCCCCAGGGCAGAGGTCACAGCCCCAGGGCTGACAGAGCTGCAGGAGTGTTTGGCCAATGCTCTGAGGCACAGGGTGCATTGTTGGGGTGTCCTGTGAGGGGCCCTTCCAATTCCCAAGATTGTGTGATTCTGTGAACATTTATGTAGGTTTCTGTCTTCTCTCTCTCTGGGGGTGCTTGCAGGCAGCCCAGCGTGCACAGAAACAGTCGACTGAGCTCTTCCAGTGCATGTACTTCAGGGACAAGAGCGCCGAGACGGACGAGCGCTGCGTGGCCGACGGCGTCATTTACTCCATCCGCACCAACGGGGTGCTCGTCTTCGTGCCCAGGCCAGTCCATCACGCCTTGGAACGAGCTTCCAAAACACTCAGTGCAGGGCTTGGCTTGGCGGTGTGGCTGAAGAGCCAGCACTTCCCCAGTCAGGAAGAGCTTCCTCAGAGAGAACCAGGGCAAACATGCTGCTGGTCTCCAGTAACTTTTCTTTAATGGAGAACTGTCTCTTCACTGTCCTGTCTGGAATAACCTGTAAAGCTGCTCTTCCATCATTGAGCCATTCCAGGCTCCACCCAATACATAAGATAATGAATCACTATTTTACTTTTGCTTCACTGCTCTCAGAACACTCAGTCACTATCCCCACGTTGTTTCTGTGTTCTCTCTGGGTTTCTTTGACAACACACACCAGTCTCCCTGCAGTAGGACTATCAGGGTACAGTCCTTGTCCCTTCCTGTTGCTTTTCCATAATCCCAGCAGCCCGTGGGTTTCAAAATGAAGAGAACTGATAAGGGTGAAAATTGTTACAACAGCTTCTGACAATTCCATGCGTTCTTTGTAGATACGGAATCAAAGGTGCTGCATACATGAAGAACAAAGAGGGCTTGGTCCTCTCTTGCCAAGGGAGTGGGAGCTGTGAGTGGAAACCTGGAACACTTCATCGCTCTCAGAATAAAATCACTTCCACCACCACCACTGGAGAATCAGTTACATTAAGCCTTTTTGATCACATCACAGTGAGTATTTAATCTGAGGGGAGGCAAAGGGAATAGCACAATCAGAAATAAAGTCATTTGTGTATTGCTTTCCAGGTGAAAATTCTGGTGCAGACCTCCCGCTGCCATGCCGACACCATCAAGCTGGAAATCACCAGGAATG